AGGTCGACCATTTTGGCCCCGCCCTACCCCCGTGGGTAGTGAGTTGAACAAACTTGAATCTACACTACCTGAGGATGTTTCCCCATAAGTTTCATCTTTCCTGGTACAGTGGTTCTTGAGAAAAAGATTTTTAAAATATTCCACCAAATTTTCATTTATTCCCAATTATCTCCCCTTGAAACAGGGCGTGGCCCTTCATTTGAACAAACTTGAATCCCCTTCACCCAAGGATGCTTTGTGGCAAGTTTGGTTGAAATTGACCCAGCGGTTCTTGAGAAGAAATCGAAAATGTGAAAAGTTTACAACGACGACGACGACAGACAACGGACAAATTGTGATCAGAAAAGCTCACTTAAGCCTTTGGCTCAGGTGAGCTAAAAATGTGTGAGAGAGAGGGTGTGTGTGTGTGTGTGTGTGTGTGGGTGGGTGTGTGTGTGTGTGTGTGTGTGTGAGGGGGGGGGGGGGGAGAGATAGGCATTGACAAATTAATTGGGCTGTATTTTCAATGGTTTTATTCCTAAAATAATATTTTATGTGGTAGGGAAAGTAAATTTAAAATGTTCCAAATTATAGTCAAAATATTTATCAGAATCTAATTAAGTAATTTACTTTATCAATTAAATTCTGTTATTTCAGGCTGGTAATGAATTAAGTATACAAAATACATCTATGAGGCTCATAGATCATATGGTCTCCTGAAAATTTTATGCTCAATTTGACGAATACATGTACGGAGATAATTATAGAATTATTTTGACTTTTTCCTTGGAAAGACCAGTTGTTGAGTCACGTTTTGTCCGCCGTCACATTATGTCCGCCGTCACGAAATGTCCGCCATTTTTTCAAAAAAATCGTCACGTTATGTCCGCCGTCACGAAATGTCCGCCTCTTTTTCGGAAAAACTGTCACACTATGTCCGCCGCCACGAAATGTCCGCCTCTTTTTCGGAAAAATCGTCACACTATGTCCGCCGCCACGAAATGTCCGCCTTTCTCCCAAAAAAATAGAAATATTAGGTCCGCCGCCAAGAAATGTCCGCCTTTTCTCCCTAAAAAATCGTCAAACTATTTCCGCCGCCACGAAGTGTCCGCCGATCATCCAAAATTGTAACGTTATGTCCGCCCCTACAAAATGTCCGTCCAAGATTGAAAATAGTGTTTTATTTTTTCTTTTCGGTGTTTAATATATGTATCTTTAACCAAACGTCTAATAATGTATGCCATCAGAAATATCCACCAAGAAAAATTAGCGTATCGAACAGCAGAAAGGTGATTATAATATCAATCGTTGATGCTCGGTGACCGGTTAATTTATTCGTCGTTGAAAACTGGTATGCATAGGCATAATAATGGTCTGTTCTTTGCTACAAATGATTTCATTGAACTACATTGAACTGGTATGCATATGCATAATAATGGTCTGTTCTTTGCTACAAATGATTTCATTGAACTACATTGTTTCGGTCAATTAATGGAGATATGTTTCATTTCTCTTGATTGTTTACGGTTTTGATAATTTAATGGCATGGTGTCAGAAAAATTTAAGCCTTACCCTTTGTTTTGTTGCCAGTTTTTAATTGTAATAACAAAGAAAACATTGTGAACGGCAGGAGGCGGTGGGTTATTTGATATTAAAGTTTAAAGTAGCCTTGGTGCTCTGCGGAGTTTAAAAAATAAATTTAAAGTATTTTACATTGGCAGGGAATATTTATATATTTAGTGTTCAAAAGCTTAGCAAAACTGCAATATAAACTAGAGGTACTTTGAGCAATGAGCTCACTAAATCATACCCCCCGCCTCCCATATGAATATAATGGCACTGTCCATGTTTTGCTCTGGAAAATCCAAATTATATGTCAGATCAAAAAGTAAAATTGGAGGTACACAATGGCAATATGTAATTAAAATCTGTTAAAGTTTCATTAAATTTCCTTCAGTGGTATGAGAGGAGTTGCGGATAAGAGATGGGTACCCCAAAGCGTAACACACGGACAGACGGACGGACGGAAATACCGATTTCTAAATACCCTCCCACTTTTCAAGCGGGAGTATAATAAAAATTAAAATTGAATAAATAATCGTGTCAATGTTGTATCTGACCGAATCCTCATTGACGAATTTTGAAGCGCAGAGAATATAAGGATTTTCGTTATATGTAAAATTTTAATTTCTCACAAATACGAAATTTATGCTGCAGCAGACAAGGATAAAGCATTTTTTTTTATAGTGTGCCAAAATAAAGAGAAATGCAACTTAGCGGATCTGGATGGAATGGGGGGGGGGGGTCAAAACCCCCCTTAAGATATGTCTGAGAGAGAGAAAGAGATTCAAAATATTTGTTGTGCTTTAACCTAAGTACCGGTAATTGTCTCGTAAAGGCTACTTATAAAATTTATGTATGAAAAAAATCGGTTGTTCAAATAAAATACGCACCTGCAATATTGCGTGCACTGTTTTAATGTGTAGATTTTTATGATATATATTTTATTAATAACAGATCAAGTAATGTCAGTTTGTTGCCTCATAACAGGAACATTGTGGTTTGCCGCTTGAGTCTAACTAAAGGGTTTTGTGTAGATATAACGAAATATGACGAGTTTAAACAGAAGTTCGAGCAACTAACACTTGTGCCGAAATGTCCGGGAATTATGAAAAAATAAGTTATGCTTGTGTATTATATACTTTATGTGTATTTTCATATAAGTTTACGTATTTCCTTTTCATTTACTGAGAAGTTCGGTAAAATAAAAGGGTAAATACGTTAAGTGCGACGTTTCTACGTCTGTATTCATTGGTATCTTTTCGAATAATTTAATGGCCCTTAAAAGGGCCGTTTATTGTCAACTCCTAGGAGCGACTCTTGATGGTCTTGCTTATTGAAAGCAAGAAGAGGACTGTTCCCGCCTCGTTGAAGTGGATCTCATCGGGAAGGTAATGTCTGGGAAATTTGACATCTATTCTGATGTAGGTTCGGCCAAGGATTTTCTTCATCTTATTGTTAACAGTTCTATGCCTTGCATCAAACTCCTCACGCTGCAAAGGAAATCGAAATTTTCCTCTAGAAACAATCTCTGAGAAGAAAATCTCGGGTTTTCTGCAGCTGGGACTCAAGACTTTAATTTGTTCGAAAAGGCTCGTCAGACAGTCAATGACAGTTGACGCCTCGGCTCCACTGGAAATGTCGTTTCCCCCTAAGCACACTACAACGATGTCCGGGTTGTACCTCAACATCTTGGAGATGATATTTGGACAAGGCTGAGAAGCTGTCATCCCACCAACTCCAAACCACCCGACTTCAAATGGCATTACAAAGTCTGTAAAGCTTGAAGCTCGCTTCACGTAGGAGGAACCGAATATGGCGACTCTCATGGTGGCTATAAAATAAAATCACAAATTTCACAGTTATAACAAACTCGAGGCAAATTATGTAATTAAATAATGATTACCTTTTTTGTCATCTATGATTAAAAAGCAGTTATCAAATTTAAAAAAATTGCTATTATATATGATCTTAAAAAATGAACTTTTTGAAGTTATACTAATTTTGCTTTGAAATCAATTACCGTGTCGATCATAAATGGCTAATTGGTTATTAATTATGCCTAAAACAACCTCAACATGAAGTACGCTGGGAGTTCAAAATAACTGTTAAACTATATCATCATTACTGCTACTCCTAATTTAAATTTTGTTCGTACATCAATAAGACGATTAACTCTCATTACCGCTTCATACACGAATTCGAAATCGATGACGCAGAAACTGAGTCCTATATTTATATATATAGATTAATCACAATGTTGTCAAAGAAAGTTGGAAATCTATTTAATTCAGTTTGTTATCGAAAATTAAATACAATAGGACTTTCAAAAATTCCCGTCCGTGTAGATTTGAAAGACACAGCCCTCAGTAATGTGTCTTTAAGCTAATAAAGTGTGGAGAAAACCTACCCAAATAACAATAAACCTTTCTTAAGTGATCAGGGAATACATCTCACATGCATGTTCATGTATAAGGTGCAGACAAATTGGAGGTGCATTGTAGCGATATATGTATTCTACGAAGAGGATACGAATAGGAATAGTAATTTAACCCCCCCCCAGCCCAATAAAAATGTTTTAAAAAACCGTAACGACAGCCACTACAAATGTATATCGTCTGATGAAACACGACGAATTATCATCACGTTGAGTTTCAAACAATACATAATAGATTGGATTTAATAAATGGTTTCAAACAAAGTTATCAATGTCTTGATTGTAGGGAATTCAGAGAGACAAATAGTTCGCTGTCTTGATAAATAGCGTGTCCCAATATCAATAATTATCAGTAATTACAGTACTTGCAGAACGTCCATAGTTTGAAATGAAACCGGATTTTTTTTCATGATTTAAACATATTAAAAGCATTCAGTGTACCTAAAAATAATACGAGCTTCAATATTAAACAACTTTAAATTAATGTTCATAGCATTTTGTTTGGAAAGGGGAGAAGTGTCTCGCTGAAAACAAATGTAAATTTTTACTTCGTTATGCAAGACCAAAACAGCACTGCTTATCCGTGTTTGATCCCGAGATCAAAACGAATGAATAAAAAATAATAATATTACACGCACATTTCTAGAATATTTCTGACAATTTAATTTTGTGGAGGCTTTCAAAGTGTCCTGCCCTGTTTTTCAATCTAGATTTTTTAAAATTGTTGTGCATCGATCATATACCAAGTTTTTTTTAAAGTTAATACCAGTTAATATTGAATAAAAATCACGTGACTATTGTTAGTAGAGAAATATTGAAATAAGGGTTGTCGGCAGACTTATAGTATATTCTAGGAGAGTTCTGCCAGTAAAACTGTTGCCCAACTCTTGCCACGTGGAGGCATCTCCTGTTAAGAGTCTTTTTTTTTTTTTTTTTTTTTTTTTTTTTTATAAATAAATATATTATACTCTATTTAAATAAATAAATAAATAAATAAATAAATAAATAGATATTTTTTCTGTAACATGTTAACCTAGATTTGCGCGAATGTGGCTCCAACTGGAAACCAGCTCATAAGGAGACAGGTCGTACCACATTTTCCCTAATGATGTGTTTGGCGCGAATGGTGGCTCCAACTGGAAGCCTGATCAGAGAAAAAAGGCCATACCACCATATACTGACAGTGTTTGAAAATTAATAAATTAATAAGCACGATATTGAACGCGTATATACAAGGATATTTTTCACGTTTTATCCGTTACTTTTTAAATTTAAAATCGACAATATAATACCATCCGGCGATTGCTGTTGCCAGTATCTCGATGTAACCATTAATCCACCGGGAAGAAATCGGTCGCAATATATTCCGTAATTCCATCATTACTCCACTACCCGAACCCGACACACGGCCCAACTGACGAACAGACCAGTTGTGCCTTACGCCCTCTGCGAATACTGACCTACCTTCCAATAAAAACATGACATTTTCATTTAAGTATACTTTAGGACACAATTTATGAAGGGTGCCTAGCAAATGCTTGAAGTGTGTTGAAACCCTTATTAAAGTCAAAAACATGTTAAAATTTTTGTATATTACAAAGGATAAAATATGACGCTGAATGAAGTAAGGTAAATCAGTGAATTGCTTTTGGTTTACATTTTCTGTTTCCGGAAAAATTTGCTTACGAGCCCTGACATAATCACTTGGTGTAAACTTTTTAGGGGGTCGCACGTTAGACCTTAATCGGACAGGTGATAATACTGGTGGCTGTTTGTCTAAATTTGAATCGTTTATCCTATCTGTAATTGGAGATAAAGAAGGTGGAGATAAATAAAATGATGAGTTAAGACTTGGGGGAAATAACCTGTCTTTCTCTGTGGAGCTCAGATTGTTTGTGTCGGAGATTGCTGTTGGGGAAAAGGGTTGCAAAGTCGGCGTTTCCAATGTCGGCGGAACAGGAGAATCGATGTGGTCATTTGCAGTCTGAAATAATTCGTTGTCAGGAAAAGAAGCCGAAGGCCCTATGTTTACATGGCTGACCGGAGGAGATAACGAACTGTCGTTGGTGGATAGGTGTAGGTGGAGAATCGAATCACTAGAATAATCTGTTAGTTGAGGTTCAAGTTGAACTTCCTGTAACGAATAGTGAGAAAAATCATTACTGTGAACATTGTTATTATCTGTGTTGTTTTGGTTTGAGTTGAAATCCCTGTTTGGAATACACACTGTATTAACATTATGAAAATTAACTTCATTAATACAAATATCCGCCTGCGTGCCCGGTATCGGTTCTAACCTTATAAAATGAAACTCGAACTCATGGCCTAAATAAATATGTAAAAGATTTTCCCTATTTTGACGATCAAAAGGCAAAATGTACCTTAAGTCTGACTGGGAGCTCGACACAATACCTACTGCGATATTAAATGCGTTCGCGATGGCCGTGATGCAGATGTGGTCGCCCCATTCGGTACCCAGTATGCCCTCTAAATAGGTATCCCAGTCTAAATTAGGTACAAAGTGTGAAAAGCGGTCGCCTGCCGGTGTTTCAGGGTTCTCGGAGAGCCAGTTTACCACGATATCTCTAATATCTTGCTGATTAAGGTCGATTTGTAAATAATTAGAGAGCGATTGTGCAACTGAATGAAAGAGACAGCTACCGTCTTTAGGAATATCCCCAACGGGAATTAAATTTCGTTCAAGCGCATTTCGAACCAAATCGTCATGGGCTGTATCGGTTCTCGAGAGGCTCGGTCCTTTAAGTTGGTTTACTAAATTATCAGAAAGATAGAAATCCGATATATGCGGGAAATTATGGGAAGGCAGTGAACAGGGAACTTTGCTTTCGCGGCAACAAAATTTATTTAATTTGTGTACACAGTTTGGATCCGATTTTCGGGAGCATTTCTCATTGTTACACTCGCACAACGGATCAAGCCTTAATCGATGACGTTTTTGTCTTTTTAACAGTTCTTCGGAACGTGAAATTGCTGCTATGTTTTGTACATTTATCCAACGCGACACCCCACTGGAAAACCTGATTTTGTAAGAGAACGCGTTGTGTTTTGTGCCGATTATTTTTCCCCTTTCGAACCGCGGCCTAGCTTTATTGTAATTTTTCCGAGTTTGGGATTTTACGAACACTTCGTCGCCCACACTATAGACACTAACTTGATGTTTTTTGAAATGGTGCTTTATCATGGTTTTTTCGCGTTTTTTCGATGCCAGTAGGGCTCCCTTGCGAATGGCGGACTGCTTTTTCAACTCTTTCGAAACATTATTTGAAACGGTTGGTCCAAGACGAGTAGACTTACGCACACGATTAGATTCCCGTCCGTGATATACGTAAAATGGAGAAGCCTTTAAAGAGGAGTGATACTCCTCATTGCGCAACATCGCGTATTTTGATAAATCTCGAACCCAGTTCGAATCGCTTGTTTTTAGTAGGTCGTACTTAAGCTTTGATTTCCAGGATTTATGAGACGATTCAATTTTACCTTGACTTTGCGGGTAATACGGTCGGCTTTTGATAATTTGACAACCCAATACCTCGGTCAACCGGGTTACCGAACCATGGAATTCGCGACCATTATCACATTGTATGATTTTCGGCGGTCCTTCGCTTTCATAAATGGACTCCAGCGCGTCTGCGATTTCCGTGCTTTCTTTCGAGCTGAGCGGGCGAAGCCATACGTAACGACTGAAAACGTCTAGAACCGACAAAATATACTTGTACTCTACACCGTTATAAAATTCCGTGTGTCGCGACATATCAACTAAGTCAATTTGGTGGCGTTCTTGTATCGAAGTTGCACGAATCGGTTTAAGAGGAGCAACGTTATCGAAAATTGGATTGACGGACTGCTTTTCGGGAAGAGATTTAAGAGAGGTTTGAACCTTCCGATGTGTTACGCCGCTGAATAATTTATATATATAGTTAAAAAGTCTCAGTTTTGTAAAAGAAAGGGCGTACTTTAATTTCGTGAAGGCGGACATTACGAGACGATATTTACACTCCGAAATATTGAAGGACATTTAACGGCGGACACTGTGTGATCAGTGACGAGTTTACCGAGAAAAGACGGACTTTTCTTTGCGGCGGACATAATCTGACGATTTTTTATTTCGGAAGAAAGGCGACTTTTCTTGTCGGCGGACAATATTGCGTTTTGTTTTAGAAGGTATTTTGTAGCGGGGGACATAATATTACGATTTGTTTGGAAGAAAGGCGGACATTTTGTAGCGGCGGACATAGTGTGACGATTTTCTTGAAAAAGAGGCGGACATTTCGTGACGGCGGACATAGTGTGACGATTTTTCTGAAAAAGAGGCGGACATTTCGTGACGGCGGACATAACGTGACGATTTTTCTGAAAAAGAGGCGGACATTTCGTGACGGCGGACATAACGTGACGGCGGACAAAACGTGACTCAACACCAGTATAAAGGAGTGTGTATTTAGAGGCAAACACCTTAGTGCGGGTATTACTGTCTCATGACAGCATCTAGTTTAATATTTGCAAATACAAATACAATCTATCGTTGGATCAAAGGATTGTGGCTTGCCCAATCTTGATATTGAATACTGTTCGTTATCTCCATACGTTTCATACAGGATTCAATCCTTGCGCGTCGCAGGATTTAATAATAAAAAATAAGGCAAACTTGGTGAATTATTTATATAATGATCTGGTGAAAATAATTACCTTGAGTTACAAGTCATGATATCCTTTTCATCTTCCAAAATTCAATTAATAATCATCGCAAGATACCGTTTAACAAAGAAATCTTGATGATCAAATTCACTGAGCGGAAAGACTTCCAGGAGAATTTAATTTTATGGAAACTATATATCATCCTCTGACATAATAATAATTATAGAGAACATTACTTTAAATTGGACAGTTTAAAAATACTATAGTTCAGGCTTGTAATTAACTTTTGACAATAATGAGAGTAATTTATAACCATTTTTATCTGTATAATATTAGCATCTGTAACACACTGTCGGTGAAATATGACTTCCCAACATGCTAGACTGGTATTCTTCATAGGGTGTTCCAGTCGCTGAGCAGACATATTGAAATTGCATATAAAACCCAACATTAAAGATATCAAAATTTTCAAAACCTTTTTCATCATTGATATGTGAAGTGCAAACAATTTCAAACCCCAGTTGATCCTAGACCTAATTACAATTTCCGTGGAAGCACAAGACGAACAAAGTGTAAACATGCATAACAATTAACAAGTTATCATTTGCCATTGGTATTGCCTCGCGCTAAACCTTCCTATTTAAATTACATTATCCAGCAAAACAATTTTTTTCATAGACCAAATCATTCATAATTTAGTCCTTAAAATATTGGCATTTTCAAACGCTGAGACGAAATACGGAACAGATGTTTATGAATAAGTGACAATGTTTGTAAAAACAATCATCATAAAAGGTCCTAAACACAGGGAGCAACATCTTTCACTAGCCGAAAATAACCATTTCTGTTATGAATTCTGTCAAGGAAAACAGGGACTTGCTTATGCAACAATACAATATAACTTTATCACCTGCATACGGGTTTTACATCTCATAGTTCATCCCATGGGTTCATATTGTTATGGGTCATAATAACCCTAAATGCCAGCAAAGATCAATAATACAATTTAAACTTAACAATAATTTATTTACAGTAATATATTATAAGTATATGAAACATAAAGTACAAACTTAGCAAGAATCTAAAAAATACATACATCAGAGTGTCAGTTGCTGCACACAATGTCCCAGTGAAATTATATCCCAGTAATACCTCAATGATGCTTATACGACAAAAGTATATCTATGCATCGAATTGACAGGGTATTTATACAGTATCATAAATCTAGAATTTTCTAGAAGTTGTTAAAACATGATATTACTGGAACAATCTGGACATACACAAAATTCAGGAATGTTCTAGAAACAATGACCGAACATATTGACCACTCTGGAATGTTCAAGAAACTTAATGTTACTAATTATATACATGATGAAACAATACAAATACAACACACCTCACAACACCTCCCCCCTTAAAAAGTTTGAATGTCAATGAAAAACTTAAATTGTAAAACATGTACATTAATACAATATCTAGTATGTTTACGATACTCTGGACAAGGCATCTGCAATAACATTGTCTTTGCCTTTGATATGCTTAATTGTTATGTTGTATTCTTGTAACAACAAACTCCATCTAGTCAGTCTTTGATTCTTATTTGACAATTTATGCAAAAATGTCAGGGGGTTGTGATCTGTATATACAAGAATTGGATGCAAAGTAACATTCAGATAAACATCAAAATGCTGTAAGGCTAACAACAAAGCAAGGCATTCCTTTTCAATGGTGGAATACTTTTGTTGACATTTTGTAAGTTTCTTTGAAAAATAAGAAACAACTCTATCTACCTTATCACTATGTCCTTGAAACAAAGCTGCCCCGATTCCAACATCACTAGCATCAACAGTAAGCTTGAACTGCTTAGAAAAATCTGGAGTTGACAGAACTGGATTGCTCATAAGGACAGATTTGATTTTATGAAACGATTTTTCACAGTCCTTTGTCCATTCAAAGTTTACCCTCTTTTGTAAAAGATTTGTAAGTGGACTAACTACTGAGGAAAAATTTGGACAAAATTTTCTGTAAAACCCAGCCATGCCCAAAAACCTCATTAACTCTTTCTTGTTTGTAGGAATCGGGAACTTTGCAATAGCTTCCACTTTAGCCATAATAGGTGTAACATAACCTTGGCCTACTTTATGACCTAAATACTCTACATAAGCATGACAAAATTCGCTCTTCTCAAGGTTCACAGTTAAGTTTGCTTTAGCTAAAATGTCAAATAAAGCACGCATGATTCGAAGATGTTCGTCCCATGTGTCACTGTATATGATGACATCATCAATGTAGGCCTCGCATCCCTCAAGGTCGTGAAGAAGGGAGTGAATAATCCTTTGGAATGTAGCTGGTGCGTTTTTCATGCCAAAAGGCATTACTTATACTGGTAAAGTCCATCTGGTGTAGCAAAAGCAGATATTTCTTTTGCTCTTTCTGTTAACGGCACTTGCCAGTAGCCTTTCAACAGGTCAAATTTACTGACAAATTTCGCGTTTCCAATATTGTCAATACAGTCATCGATTCTAGGTATTGGATATGAATCAGTTTTGGTAACAGAATTCACCTTTCTAAAGTCTGTACATAAGCGGTAGGTACCATCCTGTTTTGGTACAAGAATACATGGTGAGCTCCAGTTACTTTTACTAGGTTCAACAATGTCATTGTCCAACATGTACTGCACTGCCCTTCTTAGGTACTGCAATTTTATTGGATTGAGACGGTACGGATGTTGTTTGATAGGCAGAGCGTCGCCAACTATAACATCATGACAAGCTGCATTAGTTTTCCTTGGAACATCCGAGAAGATTTGATGATACTCATTCATCAAGTTTTTAACTTGTTCTTTTTGGTAAATGTTCAAATGTCCAAGTTTGGCATCAAAATCGGCCAAAATTTCTGAGTTTTTCAAGCGGACATTCTGATTACAATCTTTCTCATTCATTTCTACACTCGTATCACTTTCAATACAATTTTGAACAGTCTTAGCGTTGGCTAAAGTGGAAACTGGTTTTACAGAATTTCGGTCACACCTTTCAAAATACTCTTTTAACATGTTAATGTGACAAACCCGTTTCTCATTACGTCGACCTGGTGTCTTAACTACATAGTTTACATCACTAATCTTGCTTTCAATTTCATAAGGGCCATAAAATTTGGCCTGTAAAGGATGACCAGGAATAGGTAAAAATACAAGAACCTTATCACCTGGCTTAAACACCCTATTTCTGGCATCTTTGTCATACCACATTTTCATTTTCATCTGAGAAGTCTTCAACTTTTCTTGTGCTAATTTACAAGCATTGTAAAGTTTTTCTTTGAAATCAGACACATAATCTAAAAGATTAAGATCATTAGTCTCAGTCAGCCACTTTTCCTTCAACAATTTCAAAGGACCTCTAACTGTATGACCGAACACCAATTCAAAAAGACTAAACCCAAGAGACTCCTGGACTGCCTCTCGTGCAGCAAATAGTACAAGATGAACCCCTTCATCCCAGTCTTTCTCATACTGGTAACAATAGGTCTTCAGCATTGTTTTTAGGGTTTGATGATAACGTTCTAGCGCCCCCTGGGACTCAGGATGATGAGCAGTTGATCTATACTGCCTAATACCCAACTCATGCATGACTTGCTGGAACAACCCCGACATAAAATTTGAGCCTTGATCCGACTGAATTGCCTTGGGTGCTCCTACAAAACTGAAAAACTTGGTTAGGGCCTTAACTATGCTCTTTGCCTTTT